TGCGCCATGTCAGTTGCATTCAGCAGCTGCAGGGTTCTGTCTGCCAACCCAAACACATTTCTGCCTGGCCAGAGTTCGCTTTGCTGTTGGCATCTCTTGATTTTCCCAGACGATAATGCCCACCTGTTTTGCAGGGCACGGCTGAGGGCTGGAATGTGGAGAGGCATCCTTGAAATCTCTGGGTGTGCCTTTGCTTTTTCTTTGTCGTAATGCTGTGTGGGCCATACACTGAGAAGCAGGGTAACTTTATCCTATACTTTGCGGACTTTCTTTGGAGGTTTTGAAGTTCGATGGCCATCTGTCAATGATTCCTTTGATTATTATAAATTTTAATTTATTTAACATAATTGTTACAAAATATAAGCAAAATATTGCAAATACATACAATATATATTTCAAATAAGCACATATATAAGAAAGGAACAAAAGAGAAAAGAAGAAAGAAGAAGAAGAAATAAAGAGGAAAAAAGAAGAAGAAAGGTTGGAAGAATTTCTTCCAAGTTGATTCTACAAGTTTATTATTATTTTAAAAAAATAATTTATTTAACATAATTGTTACAAAATATAAGCAAAATATTGCAAATACATACATATATATTGCAAATAAGCACATATATAAGAAAAGAAGAAAAAAAGAGAAAAGAAGAAGAAAGGTTGGAAGAATTTGTTCCGAGTTTATTCTACAAATATCTCAATATGAAAATAATAATAAAATTTCATTGATTGACTTCCGTCACTTACACTGCACTTCCTATATACATTTTAAGCAAGATTGTATCTGTTATTCCATATTTTTCCCATACAATCTCTCACAAATATTCTCATCAATAAGTTTTCTAAATCTTTCATAAATCTATTCTAAACACAACCAATACCTTACACTTGACCCTTGTTTGCATAAATAATCATTTAGACATTCCCGTTGTTTCTGGATTATATTTTTTGGTTTTTGTCTTATCAAATCAGTCAACTTTGCTAATTCCAAGTATTTGCATAATTTATTCAACCATTCTTTGGTTGGAACATAATTTCCTTTCCAATTACTGGCTATCAACATTCTCGCTGCTGTTGTCGTGTACAAGAAAATATTCCTTAGCATTGCAGGGGGCTGGACTAGATGTCTCCGGGTTCCCTTCGAACTCCACAATCCACGGATTCTACGTGTTCCAAAGTGCAATCAGTGTCACACAGTTTACCTGAAGACAAATTGCATGCTGCTTATTGATGCCAGTGTCCCCACGCTAATATTTCCCAAAAACATCCCATTGAAAGCTACCTGTCAGGGATCCTTTATAGTGGTACCTTGGTTCTCAAATACCTTGGTACTCAAACAACTTGGAACCCGGATACTGCAAACTAGGAAGTCTAAAGGAAGAGGACAAGACATTATATTTATACGCAACAGTAGCCGCAAGGCTATTGATTGCGAAAAATTGGAAAAGTGGTATAATTATGACAAAAACAGAGTGGCTTGCCAAATTATTGGAGTATTACAATATATCCAAAACAATAGGAGAAATTGGAAGGATCTCAAAAGAGAAGATAGACAGGTGTTTAAAGGATGTTTGCAAAATCATATTGAAAAATTCCTATTAGAATAAACAAGTTCCGTTATAAATACTGAAATACTAAATAAGATGGATAACAATGTGTAAAAGAAAAAGAGGTAGAAAGTTGGTTTAAAAGTGTGTGAAAGAAAGTAATAGAAGTGGAAAGAAATTGCAATTGAGTAGACTGGAAGTCTAACACAAGGGAGGGGTGAGGGATTATGGTGGGGAAAGGAAGTATGTGTGGGATTGAGTGTGGATATGTATGAATATTTTTAAGGATTGTATGAAATGTATGTTTGTCTGTATATTCGTAATATGTATGTATTAATGTTGAATTATTTTAATAAAATAAAAATAATTCAAAAAGCTGCTTAAGAATTCAGGGAATCTCCCTCTCCTGCTATGACAAGCTCCCCTCTTCACTGGTCTCCAAGAACATGCAGAATAAGGAGAATAACAGAGGCCAGAGGTGCACAGACCCAGCTTGCGCCTCCAAGGGAAACATCTGGAAGAGGAGGAGCCTTAGAGAGTCCTGGCAGCTGCTCGCTAGGGGCAAGACCTGCTGCGAAGGGTTGCAAAGTTGTCGGTTCATTTCCTCGAGGAAAGCGTTAACTTCCCTGCCAACAGTCTTTCCGCTCCTGATTTGCGGCACTTTTATTGTGGCCCAGTGGCGTAGCGTGGGGGGTGTGCAGGGGGGCCCGGCCGCACCGGGCGCAACATCTGGGGGGGCGCTCGCACTCGCAGCTCTCTGCCCCTACCTGGCTCACTCACTCTCTCTCACTGCAGTGCTGGCTGTGCGAATCCGATCCGAGCCACTGGGTCGCCGCCCACTGTGGAGGGGGGGGGTGCCAGGCGTGCGGTGCGGAGAGAGAGCGAGGGACTATCTGGGGGAGGGACAGTGCAGCGGCCGCCCAGCGCAGCGCTGAGCGCGGGAGAGAACCACACCAGACCAGCCCAGGCAGCAGCAAGAAGAAGCTGGCAGCAGCGGCAGGTTAGGGGTTAGGGGGCGCAAATTACTTGCCTTGCCCCGGGTGCTGACAACCCACGCTACGCCACTGTTGTGGCCCCACCCCCGAGAGTGTTCTCCAGCCCCTTCAGCCTTCAAGCCAGGACCCAAAACTTCAGGCGGAGCTCAGTCAGCTTGCAGGTGTCACAAGGGGGTTGCACATGTGATAAACGCTGCACCGGTTTAAGCTCAAAAGCGGGAAATGCTGGGCAGGAATAGACTGGATATATACTGTAATTTAGCAGGAAAAGTGCAGAAGCTGCAGTCTTTTATTTTCCCTAGACTGCCTCCCTCTTTGTCCTTCCACCAGCAGGTGAAACCTTCTTGTTCCAACAGGCTGTTAGCAACCGGCCGCTTTTAATGAAAGGGCTGGTGCTGTTTTATTGTAATTATCTGTGTCTTTTAAACATAGTCTGAAGCATATAGTTTTAATTCTGTCCATGTTTACTCTTTTGGTGTTGTTTCGTCTATGTTTTTATCCGTAAGCCGCCTTGAGTCCCCTCATGAGGAAAGGCTGGGTATAAATAAATAAATACGAAGAATGATAATAACAACAATCTTAGATGATATGTGCTTGAAAGTGTTTGTGCAGCACCAGATACCATCTCAAAATTCAGAGGTGTTATGATTTCCAGTTACGGAGTTCAGGTGCTCTTAAATAACGCAACAGGCATTGCAGGAATCTAACTGCAGATCCAGTTTGGCCCGTAATCCTTGCTTCTATATTCTTGAGGCAGCTTGCCAATAATTTATCTGACTTGTTGCCATGTTACTTATTACGGAGGTGCAGAACCCGTCAGACTCCAAGCCCCCATCACCCTCAGTTAGCATGGCCAATGGTCAGGGTTGATGGGAGTTGTAGTTCAGTAGCACCCGGATGGTGTCAGGTTTGTTGTTGTTTAGTCGTTTAGTCGTGTCCGACTCTTCGTGACCCCATGGACCAGAGCACGCCAGGCACTCCTGTCTTCCACTGCCTCCCGTAGTTTGGTCAAACTCATGCTGGTAGCTTCGAGAACACTGTCCCACCATCTCATCCTCTGTCGTCCTCTTCTCCTTGTGCCCTCCATCTTTCCCAGCATCAGGGTCTTTTCCAGGGAGTCTTCTCTTCTCATTAGGTGGCCAAAGTCTTGGAGCCTCAGCTTCAGGATCTGTCCTTCCCGTGAGCGCTCAGGGCTGATTTCCTTCAGAATGGAGAGGTTTGATCTTCTTGCAGTCCATGGGACTCTCAAGAGTCTCCTCCAGCACCAGAATTCAAAGCATCAATTCTTCAGCGATCAGGCACAGTTCTCTGCTCTCGACTTTTATTCCCTCACCTACTCTTTAAAAATCCCCTTGATTGCTGCCTTGATTGTGAGGCTGCAGGCTGGAACTTTCTTTATTATTACTTTTTAAAAAATTAATCCGAGGTTAAAGTGCTTGTTTTCCCGAAGTATATTGCACCTAGCAATAAATACCAACCCTGCCAAATGAAATCCACACAGCAGGGCGAGATTTCTTTGGCGATCACTCGTAACTGAAACTATCAACAGAACTGTACGGAACAAGCTTATATTTTCAGAGCAAAATATCCTCTTGAATTATATAGCCAGCACATGGAACCTTTTGTAAAATGACAATACGAGTGGACTCTTTGTGCCCTTACCACAGCAAAAAGACTGATCCTGATGAATTGGAAAAATAAAAATGCATCTCCCTTCTATGATTGGATTGAAGACTTACCGTATATAAACTTGCAACATATGGTATGTACAACTTGCATGCAAACACAGACTTGCCATGCACAAATTCAATGATATTTGGAATCTATTCCGTATGACCTCTATAACCTCCTTCCCAATTTCCCGCAAATTGGTGGCTCTCATTGTTGTTGTTTAGTCGTTTAGTCGTGTCCGACTCTTCGTGACCCCACGGACCAGAGCACGCCAGGCACTTCTGTCTTCCACTGCCTCCCGCAGTTTGGTCAAACTCATGCTGGTAGCTTCGAGAACACTGTCCAACCATCTCGTCCTCTGCCGTCACCTTCTCCTTGTGCCCTCCATCTTTCCCAGCATCAGGGTCTTTTCCAGGGAGTCTTCTCATGAGGTGGCCAAAGTATTGGAGCCTCAGCTTCAGGACCTGTCCTTCTAGTGAGCACTCAGGGCTGGTTTCCTTAAGAATGGAGAGGTTTGATCTTCTTGCAGTCCATGGGACTCTCAAGAGTCTCCTCCAACACCATAATTCAAAAGCATCAATTCTTCGGCGATCCGCCTTCTTTATGGTCCAGCTCTCACTTCCATACATCACATGCCTTAATTTCTGCAGTAACCAGAGGCATGTCTCCCAGGATGGTTAGGAATCCATTTCCTTAAGGATATAGCCTTGAACAGGACCCACAACAGGGAAGAGAAATGTCCCACCGCAACTTGACCTCGGATTCTCCACCATCAGAAACTTCCAAACTTTGTGCCATTTTAGCTCAGCTGGTATGGAATGAGATTCTTCATCTCAGGGTTGTGGGTTCGAATTCCGTGTTGGACAAAGGATTCCTGTGTTGCAGGGGGTCGACCCTCTAGATGACCGTAAGGGTTCCTTCCAATTCTACAATTGGTGCTTCTGTGGTGCAGTGGGTCAGTGCGTCAAGCTGTTAACCAGAAGATTGGTGGTTCGAGCTGTTGTAAACAAAATCTGCCCTTTTCTCCTTATGGGGTACCCAAGAGCCCATATGGAGTCCTTACGTGGCTTCCTATTGGCAGGAGAAAATAACAGAGGCCAACCAGAGAATATTGAGAAGCAAAGCAGCTAGTAAGCCTGATCTTTATTGCAACAGGGTGCTCCCCTCACACGCAGGAAAGGAGCAGGACCCAGAACAAAGGCGTGCCGGCCCTTATATAGACATTTTAAATTGTCCGCCCTGGAGTCCAAGACCACCCCCCAGACACATCATATCTGCCTCACAGAAAAGGTGGTCTACAACAGAAATCTGAGTGAGTTGTTTATCTCCTGTCTGGCAGGTTACCTGTTAATGTTTACTTGATCGGACACCCTGGGGAGCCTGGCCAGTCTTTTGTAGTGATAAATACCTAGTTCCTGAGCCAGGTCACAGGCTCATCCTATTCATACACAGACATACCCTTAAGACAGGTTTTGTGAAGGAAAAGACAATGGGGAGGCTTTTACATTTTCCTTCCACCTTGCAGAGAAAACATTTGGTCAGTTTGGAAGTCAAAATGGTTTCAGGGCTGTTTTCCTGTGCTGCTTCAGACATGTGGTTTATATATTTAGGTACGTGTTTGCTTGGTATACATTTATGAACATTTATTATATATATAAGACCTTAATTTTTTTATTTCAAAATGAACTAAACAGATTGGCGGAGATCACCTGCCCTTTTTATATATTTGTGGTGGCCCATCAAAGGGGTTAGGTCTTCCTTTTTGTTTTTCTTGCTTCCTCAGATGACTAGACTTTTGCAAAAAGAAACCCGACTCCTTCTGTTCGCTGTGGACCCTTTGAGCTCTCCACACACACACACCCCTCAATTCGTTAAGGAAGACGGAGGAACGCTCAGACCTGGATTTCCCCACTCGCAAGTCCCACCCAGAAATGCACATCTGCTGAAGTTATCAGAGGGTGGAAACTCAAAAGTCAAACGGAGGTTAAATCTCAGCAGGAGCTCCATGTGCTGCTTGGCACCAGAGCTATCGCAAGCAGGGAAGAGGAGAGGCCCGTTCTGCTGGCCCAACTGCGCTCAGACACTCTGTCCTCCGTTTGCACTAGGAAAACCTGGCTGGAGGTTTGGGCTGACATTCCTGCAGCCAGCCACGTCCCGCGCAGGAGTGGGTGGGTGCTTGGGTGCTGTTCTGGGTCCTCGCCGCCAGGGCTGGATTTAGGTTTGATGAGGCCCTAAGCTACTAAAGGTAATGGGGCCCTTTATATGTCCAGCTGTCCTTTGTCAACAACAAATGGTCGCTGTTTTTGTTGCTGAATAGATGCTATATGGTAATTTATGGACCTAGTAGCTATCTGGGACACAGGTGGCGCTGTGGGTTAAACCACAGAGCCTAGGACTTGCAGATCAGAAGGTCGGAGGTTCGGATCCCCACGACGGGGTGAGCTCCCATTGCTCGGTCCCTGCTCCTGCCAACCTAGCAGTTCGAAAGCACGTCAAAGTGCAAGTAGATAAATAGGCACCACTCCGGCAGGAAGGTAAATGGCGTTTCCGTGTGCTGCTCTGGTTTGCCAGATGTGGCATAGTCATGCTGGCCACATGACCCGGAAGCTGTACGCCGGCTCCCTCAGCCAATAAAGTGAGATGAGCGCTGCAACCCCAGAGTCGGTCATGACTCGACTTAATGGTCAGGGGTCCCTTTACCTTTACCTTTAATAGGTATCTAATGCCATTTGCACATGTTGCCATGCAACCAGTCCATGCAGAATGTTGTTGTTGTTTAGTCATTTAGTCATGTCCAACTCTTTGTGACTCCCTGGACCAGAGCACACCAGGCACTTCTGTCTTCCACTGCCTCCCACAGTTTGGTCAAACTCATGTTGGTAGCTTCAAGAACACTGTCCAACCATCTCGTCCTCTGTCGTCCCCTTCTCCTTGTGCCCTCCATCTTTCCCAACATCAGGGTCTTTTCCAGGGAGTCTTCGCTTCTCATGAGGTGGCCAAAGTATTGGAGCCTCAGCTTCAGGATCTGTCCTTCCAGTGAGCACTCAGGGCTGATTTCCTTCAGAATGGATAGGTTTGATCTTCTTGCAGTCCATGGGACTCTCAAGAGTCTCCTCCAGCACCAGAATTCAAAAGCATCCATTCTTCGGCAATCAGCCTTCTTTATGATCCAGCTTTCACTTCCATACATCACTACAGTGGTACCGCAGGTTAAGAACTTAATTCGTTCTGGAGGTCTGTTCTTAACCTGAAACTTTTCTTAACCTGAGGTACCACTTTAGCTTATGGGGCCTCCTGCGGCTGCAGCGCCGCAGGAGCACAATTTCAGTTCTCACCCTAGAGCAAAGTTCTTAACTCAAGGTACTATTTCTGGGTGAGCGGAGTCTGTAACCTGAAGTGTCTGTAACCCTAGGTACCACTGTACTGGGAAAACCATAGCTTTAACTATACGGACCTTTGTGGGCAGAATGCAGAATGTAGGCACCCTATATACAGAAATGAGCAAACCAGTGATATTTTAGGGAGCAGGCTAGCAGGAGGGGCCCATTACTTACATCATAGGATCCTACACGACACAAAACACTGTTGCTGTATATAGGTTTGTTTTATTTGTTTCTTATCTTATATTTTGGAAATGTACATCCAGGTTGTTGTTTTCTGTTGGGGCCCTAAGCTATAGCTTGTTTAGCTTATACATAAATCCCACACTGCTCACTGCCATGTGTTGCATCCAAGGCAGCAAAAGAGGCTAGCCGATTTTATGAGAAATATCTCCCCCTTTTCTCCTTCCCTCAATGCCTCTGCGTGTGCAACACAGACCTCCGCATGCCCTTCCTGCTTTCAAGGGCGCAGCCTGCAAAAGGAAGCTTTTGTTCAGTCCTGGATGCGAAACATATGGCTAGGAAGTGTGGGATGGCCAAGGCCAAACTCACGGCAAGCACTTAACGCAGGAGAGACATTCCCGGGGACTGTGACTGTTCTGGCGCATTAGGCCGATGCTCAAAGCCGGCCTTTAATAAAGAATGGAATGCTGCCCCAATGGAAGGTCAGCTTCGGGTAAAGAGGCCTTGAACTGGACGTTATTCAAAGTCTCCTAACCGCTCATTTTGAAGCGGCCGTCTACAAATGGAATTCAATAATCCTGCAGCAACAAGTAGATATCTGGCAGCCGCTGGGCCAAATCCAGCCCATAGGTGGGCAGGCAACAATGGCCGCCCAGTGACTGAAATTAAGCTGCATTAGAATCAAATGTAGGAATGCGGGTGGCACTGTGGGTTAAACCACAGAGCCTAGTACTTGCCAATCAGAAGCTCGGCGGTTCGAATCCCCACGACGGGGTGAGCTCTCATTGCTTGGTCCCTGCTCCTGCCAGCCTAGCAGTTCGAAAGCATGACTTCCGGGTCAGCGCCATTGGTGAATGGCGGAGTTCCTCCGATTGGAGGAACGGGCTCCGTGGAAACTGGGTCTTCCCGTCGCGGCGAAGGTGGGGACCCGCTAGAAATCCCAGGCGGAGGAAGCCTGGGAACGTGGGGTTCGGCAGGGCACCAGAAGCGCCCCCCTACTCGCGGGGAATCCCATCTAGGGGCTCCGGAGCGAAGTGGGGTGAGTCGCTCGGTGCTACGAATTGACTGCTACTTTCACAGAGTGAAGCCGCACAGCCATTGTCAGAGAGCGCTGACTTTTTCCTGTGGACAATTGGACTTAAAACAAGTACCCGTGAGTAGAAACGGAAAATTGGATCAAGAAATTGTTTAATTTGGTATTGAAGCGGGAAGGTGCAAACAGGAAGTCCGCCTTCCACTTTTTTGTATATAGACTAAAGCAAAAATTTTGCAAGCTAAAGCCGGGAAGCTGTTAAAAAAGACTAAATTTCCTGCATTCAGAATCACTGAAACCCCCCTTGGAAGCAAGAGAAAAGGGGGGGGACTCTGTTTAACCCCAGCAGGAGAGGGAGTGAAGAAGGATAAGTTTCCACTGTCTCTAACCTGGGAACGGGGTGTCAGAGACAGAAACTGTTGGAGAGGTTCATCGACTGTGAACGTAACACTTTGACAGATAGCTAATGAAGAGAAACAAGTTGATTCTAATGTTGCCTTTTGCAGTTTAAAGAAACAAAATACTTGAAAAACATCTGAAATATCTGAAAAATGAAAGTAACTTTCTTTTGTCTTCAAAAAAAAAAAATGGATACAAGTAGATTGTCTCCTCTAGAGGGAGCCTGCTAAATTGTTGCTGTTGCATGTTTGAGATCCAACATCTGTGAGATTAAGACCGTGGGAATAGTCTTTTCTGACCTTGAACAAAGATGAGCTGGGAGAAAGACTGGGTGCTTGCTTTATGCAAGACAAATGCCTTGCTGGAACAGATGCATGAGAAGATGGATTTGATGAATGAGAAAATGGATCTGACTGTTGCGGTTAACAACTGTGGACAAACAGGGAACATTGATACAGAAATCAGTCAGGAACCAACTTATGAATCTGTACTGACTGGGCAAGTGCAGATGACAATGGAGGAGGATGCGGCTGCACCTCAGATAGTACAAATGGAGAGACCCAAGGCCCTACAGGAGTATAAGCCGCTGTTATTGAAGATTGAAGTTGGAGTGGGCCAAGGGGAGTTTGGAGATGAGGAGGTTCCTAGCTTTAGAGAGACCTTGAAATTTGATTTTAAATACATTTTGGATTATATTGAGGACTGTGGGGAGTGGGACTGTGGGGAATGGGCGAGCTGGATGAAGGGTGATGGAGACAATTTTGGGTTGGAATTCCCCAGAGACCTACTCCTCAATGAGAAAGGAAAGAAACTAGGACAGAGACCAACAAAAGACAAGGAAAAGGGCAAGCACAAACAAGATGAAGAAGAA